TGGAATTTTATGCCAAGATAAGCACATGTCCTTATAGTTATTTGATGAGAGGTCTGTTTCCACCTAGGTCACAAGACATTAAAATGGCTGCAGTGCAATGCTTGTGAATTGTTTGTCATCTGATGCCAGATCCATAGTCATCCAAAGTTCATTTTGGGGAAAATCCCCCTAACATCTGAGAAATCACAAAAGCCTGCTTTCTCAAAAAAAAAAAAAAAAAAAAAAAGCATGTGTGTTAAACACACTATGTAGATTCTTAAGCAAATTACTATTTGGCAGTATCACAAGCTTATCACAATCCATTTTGCATGATAACACTCAATCTCAGAAAAGCCAAGGAGTTAGTGATTGGAGATTTGGTGCAGTAATGAGTGTTTTTTTTAAAAAAAAAAACCATGGATGAACACTACAACTTTGTAAACTGTATTAATTCTTCCACTTAGCCCACTAAATGATGGGCAAGAATTTGTTGCATATTTTAGCCACAGCCACACAGTAACTGTCGAGAGTATGCTTCTGGATGCATTTTAGAACAGAACACAATCACAGAACTTATAAAAGCCATTATACACATATCAAGACCTTCAGATACCAGGAGACCAACTGAAGCACAACTATTTAAGATAGCTGACAGCCTTGCCCTTTTTGTGAACCCAGTCATTCCCGTAGTTAAATTTCTAGACTAAAGCAATTAAAGATTGTCAGGCTAGTTCAGTTCTCTATAGGTCATGTGCTGTTCTAGTATTTAATCTAGCAGTTTACTGTATTCCAACATGAGCTTGTAATTGTTACTATAAAGTTGTACTAAATTTTCAATTTGAGGAGAAGGAAACTTCTACAGTCACACTAATTTTAGAGTTTGTCTTCAATTCCAACTGCCTTACCAAACTGCTGTTGACTCACAAGAAACTGATTACAAAGTATAAGCACTGTTTGTCTGGAAAGTAGCACTCTATCCAGCTAGCTCCTGCTAGGACTAAGACTGGATGAAGCGCAGATTTGCTTGAAATCATTAGCTGCTCAGCATTTCAAGCTTAGCCATTAGAGTGCTGACCAGCACAAAACCAAAGCATTACATCAGCACTTGGAGCATTCTGGCCTTCATTAGAAAGGTAGATATCACATTTCTTTGCCATTGCTGTAACACAGTACAGCAAGCAAGAGACAACATAATAGTTAGAATTGTGCCAACACAGTCTACAGTTACTGATTTTAAAACATTCCAGGCTGGATGGGGTTCTGAGCAACCTGATCTAGCGGGAGGTGCTCCTGTCTATAGCTGAGGGTTGGAACTAGATGATCTTAAAGGTTCCCTTCAACCAAACTATTCTATGATTATATGATTAATTCTATACTTGCTGGCATTTAAAGACGATTTGCCACATTCAAGTAGAATATGATATGAAAGTTATAGCTCACTGCTATTGCTGTGAAATTAATGCATTTCATTGGAGAAAGCATAGAAAACTAACAGTAGTGTCTCCTCTAGCACAGGACTGTGCTTATAATTTTCCAGACCAATGAATGAAGCTACATAAGCACGTGACTGCCTCCTGCAGCATTACTTCTGCACGTGACAAAGTGTGCTGATGTGTCCGATGAAGAGACCGCTACTCCCTCTTTAAATCACTTACTGAGCCCTCCATATTACATGCTTTGGCACAAGTTTCCCTTTTTCCTGCCTGGCATCCTTAGTTATCAGTTTAAGATACCTGATGTGGCAGATTATTACTAATAACCAGACCCCACCCCCAGAATACGAAGACTAGAGCCACACAATAGATACTGCAGATTTACATTTATAGTTGGACTTTTATAATAAAGATTAGCACAAGATTCATAACCATAAATTATACATTATCATCTAAGTACATAAAATGTTAATGATACAGGTATTTGAAGAGTGGCACAAAGTAGTAATACAACCTCATAGGCATTCAAAGAAAGATGTGGGTGGTAGACACCACTGATGCTACTGCAGCACAGCAGAAATGAATCTCTGAATCTTGTTGATTCAGAGAGCTGACTGCCCATCAGACGAGGTCAGAACATAGTGTGGCAGGAAGCCAATGCCAGAACCAACTAAAGGTGCAAATAAAGAAGGATCACGTCTCTACTGCCTCATTATTGTAGTAATGTATCCCCCTTCCTAGTTCAGATATTGTGCTCTTGCACTTCAACAACTTCAGCAGGCCATATGCACTCCCACACTCACTTGCCACACATAGTGGAAGTTTCCTTTAGTACCATTAAATGTCAACAAGTAACACAGTCTTGCTCTTGTTAAACAAAAAGGATCTGGGAAATATTTGCTCTCTGGCATCAGAAGATTTATTTTCTTTGAGTTTCAGATTTACTCCAGAAAATATAGAACAGACTCAAACAGCATCGAACCCCAGCAGCACTATTGTCCAGAAAAGGAAACTTTCCCATTATTCCTCTAAACATTCAGAGCACAAGTATTAGAAAGCTCTTCCCCCCCCCCCCCCCCCCCCCGCACATAGGACTGCAAACAAAATGGGGGTAGTCAGATGAATTCATTAAGGAGATGCTTCACTGAATTGTTAACAACCCTGCTACTTCAGTAGCTTCAGCTGAAGCTTTTTAACAACTTGGTACCAGGCAATTTCCCAGCTACCTTTAATGGGCTTCGCAAAAGAAAAAAATGCTCTCTTGTCCCTGGCCTCAAGCAGTTATTGCTATACGAGTTAGTGAAGCAATGCCTTAACTTCAGACAAGAGTCTCACAATGTCATTAACAAAAGCTGCCTTTCAGAGGTTGAAATGGAATTGGACAGTAATCAATAATAAATAACAGTAACAGGCATCCTGTTGAAGTCTCCTCACTGAGCAGGGCAGCTAGTGTGTTAAGACAACAGAAGGTCATCTGTGCCTTTAGAACCATCATACACTCCTTAGAGAAGTTAAAAAGAGAAGGGAAGAAAGAAGAGACAGTGAAGGTCTGTCAGAGAGCTAGTTACATATTGAAACCATAAACAGGTGGCTGGGTGAATCCTGGTGCTGTGTATCCATACGGAAAATTTGTCTGGGGAGGTACTGCACTGGGGCCTGCTGTTAACATCAACTGCTGCCCTGGAAAAGCATGAGAAAAAGAAAGAGTTAGTTTATATACCCAAGCTTTCCTAATACTAGCTGTAGTATGGGACAAGATTATGAGACTTTCAGCTAAAAATTGGCCACAGTGCAAGCACACATTAGCAAGTTACACTGTTACTCAACATGCAGCAGAGTGGGCATTTAGGCCATCTGCTCTTGCTGTCAAAAAACTAAAAGCAAGACAGGACTCAGATGAAAGAGGAATATCAACTGCTTTTGAGGGTACAATAATGATGGCTTGTTTTGAAGCGACCATATTAAAAGCCAAACTGATACTATTTAAACACCATGCATAGTCAGAAATGAATAGTAAAGCAATTCAAGCAATTAGTTCAGTCTGTTAGGTCTCAATCCAGAGAGTGCTGCAAAAGGTCTGAACACACCTCAACAGATTTGTCTTTGTAACTAAGAGCACACATGCTTCATGCATATGTTAGATTTAAAGTTAATATCAGACAGTGAACCATTCACATCCTTCCCTTACCAGCTACTTCTAGACGCTTGTTAGCAGAATGCCTCTTCAGAAGGGCTTCTAAAATAGCAGCACACTTGAGGACAGCTACATTTTTTTTGGCTGCTTTTGTCTCAAAATGAATGAAATAGAAAGCCAGTCTGCCTTTCAGCTTGGAAGAGCAGAAAGCAGACACATTCCTCTCTGACAGGAACAGTAGGAGGAATTAGCATGCTTTATAAGTTATTTCTGGAACTGGGGACACCTTGGTATCCCCTCTCCTGTTATTATACTAAAAGCCTATTCCTAAGCTAGTGTTGTGAGCCATGTAAGAGAAGTAGGTCTTTAGCTGTACTTTAAGAGTGAGATGTCCCTTCAACTGGCACAGCTTTTCTAGCAGAGACAACCACTTTACTAGCTTCTGGAAACCAGCTTACTTTGGAGGTAAGTCACTTAAGTTACCTCCACAAAGAGACTAGAGTGACAAAAGGTTCTCAATTAAAACCAAGTATTTCACGTACCAAATACTATTGGAGTAGGTTCAGTTACTTGTTCCTCTTCTTTTCTTAGGCTTTCAGAAGCATCAAGATTATCCACCTACATTGAAGCGAACAGGAGATGTATGAAGGACTTGTCTAGGAACTGTACCATCACATGAGCATTTTCATGTCTGGTACCTTAGCTATCAAGGAATCCTTTCATTATTAATCTAGGTTGGAGACTGGCTGGGAACACAAAAACATGCAGACTGATTCCGCACATTTGTAAACTTGCCCTCCCAGTTTATTTAAGTTTACTGCAATTGCTGTCACAGGTAGCTGAGAAAAGCCACCATTGCCTTTAAAGTGCATGGCTTTTCATAGTGCTGTTCTATTCACTGTTAACTCAGTGACCCAGAAAATAAGCCAACAGATTGTAGTTCCAAGGATCATCTCAAACGGGCCTAATCTACAGTTACCTATTAACCTGCAAGCCCTCTCCGTTTCAAAAAGAGCACCCAGATATGTGCAAATATTCCAGATCCATTAAGATCTTACCTACAACTAGAAATCTGTGTTAGAGAGCACTGGTTTAACTGCATCAATATTCACATAGACTCCTCTTAGAGGAAACTCTAGAAGCTGATACTACTAGAACACATGACTCTATATAGAACCCAGAGTTGTGAGAAACAAAGCTGTTCATGACAAAATCTTTTGCCAAAGTGTTGCAGTAGTGCAAGAAATCTTAACGCAGCTTTAAACTGGGAAAAGAATGAAAGGGTGGGCAGAAAAGACAATAGTACTTTCCTTCCTTCCTTCAGGTTTAAAAAGTTACGTATTTCATAGGCAAACCACTGAGAATGAAGGCTGCAAAGCCACAGAATCATACAAATCCATACCCAGATGCAGGCAGTACTAGCATCCTGGAAAACATTTCAGTTAGCTTAGTGCTTTTTTTTTTTTTTTTTCAGCTGCTCCTCGGCCTCCTTTCCCACTAAAAGAATCACATCCAGCTTGACAAGTGCTGCAAAAGGGGTTTCTAATATACTTCAAAGAGGTTACCTAGTTCTTAACAGTTCCCTGAATTTTTGAAGCTTGCTCCTCAAAAACTTAAGCAGCCATAGGTCTTTAACTCATTCAACTTTGTCTTAGTTTCAGCTGGGATGGAATTGATTTCTTCAGAGTGTCTGGTATGATGCTATGTTTTGGTTCTAGGAGAAAAACAGTGTTGAAAACACACTGATGTTTACAGTTGACTGTTTAGAGCCAAGGCCATTTTCAGTGAAAGGCCCAAGGAGCTCGGAGGGAACAGGATTAGGACAGCTGACTTAAACCAGCCAAAGGGATATTCCATACCATATAACATCAAGAGTTTTGAAGGGGATGGGAGTTCATCTGGCACTCTTCTGCTGCTCAAGGGGATATCAGGGCATTAGTCAGGGGGTGGTGAGCAATTTCTTGTGCATCACTTGATATATACACACACACACACACACACACACATATATATAATCATAACTATATTCCTTCTCCCTATCTTAGTAAATAGTTTTAACGCACTAATTCTACTTTGTTGTTGGTTTGGAGTTGCTTTCTCCTTCATCCCAGTGGGAGTGGGGGGAGTGAGCAAACAACTGTGTAGTGCTCAGCCATCTGCAGGGTTAAATCACAAACTTACAGCTGTCAACCTAACAGTGTTTTAGAATGACATTAAATATTAGCATTATGAATACTATCCCTATTAATATGGGCCAAAGTAATCAAGAGATACCATTTTCAAATGAGGTGTATTGTTGTACTTATGACCACTAATTCCCACTCCTGAATTAGTCTTGACTCTTTACAGCCCCAAAAGCACTAAGGAGCTTGGAACAAAAGTTCAGTTACTCCCTCTGCTGGAAAAAAACTGCAAGCATACTGAAAGCAGACACCTTGAAGAAGGGACAAATGTAGCAGGTCTTCAGCAGAGGCTAAACACCTTTCTGGTTTGCTGCCTGAAAGTGAAGTTTTTCAAGAGGTTTCCAAATGAATGCTATCATACTGTGTGTGCCTAGTTCCTTCTGGGGCACAGGCTAGCTTATGCTTTCACATCTTTCTCTTATGCATTAAACCAACGGTAAGTTCCAGAAGACATATATACTCCGCTGATTAACAATTTCTTTTGGGCTTTTAAAGTTAGACACATTACAAAATATTAGACATACCACACTCAAAACCAATCTCTAGTACTATGACTGTAGTTAATTCAGACTAAATTAGTCCCAGTGTAAACCATTTTCACCACACACATTTTCCTTCTGGCAAGTTATCCAGTGTTTAGTAAGTAACCGCTTGTAAATCCAACCAGCAATTTGAAAACCATGATCTTAACCTAAACCTTATATGGAAGAATACGAGTGGACTTCTGTGGCAAGTTTTTCTTCAGTAGAATATGAGGATGAGGAGTTTAAGATCTGTACAAAAACTTTTACTGATGCTTTAGGTTGCTAGTCAAGCTCACAGTGCTTGGAAAGCTACAAACTCTAGTAATTTATATTTTAACAAGCAATTTGCACTTAGAACACATCATATTATGTGATAACTGCTTTCATCTTATGAACGTCATCCTCCCTGCCACAAGGTATTTGTGATATAATAATCATTAGTCCCAGTGGTCAAGTTCTCAATCACTTGCTTTCATTTCCCGTGAAAAAAAGAGCAGAGACCGGTTGGATTTTCAAGTTACTTGTGAACAGTCATCTTTGTAGCATTAGAAAGTGAACAGAAAATGAGTTAGAGCTAAATGACACTGCTCTTCTGGCAGAAGCTACAGCTAGATTCTTGTAAGAGAATCCTAGGATATTAAGAGATGCAAATGAACACAAAGCGTTTGAAATCAGAGTGTCACCTTATAGAACAGCCCATCAACCTGCAAGAAAATTCAGAGGGGAATTCTTAACATGACTGATTAGAGGCAATCTGAAGCAATCACTTCTAGAGTACTGATTTCAATAAAGTTCTTAATTCTGATGATCTAAGAGCCTTTTAAGGAAGAATCTTAGTTTAATATGCTAGAGCTGTTTGAGACAAGCATTTCAAGACTGCACATGATCAGAATCTCTCCTCTCTCAATTCAGGACTAATTACTGGTATCAATATTGTATAGATTATGCACCTGAAATTCTATTTTCAATGAAAATTCACTTTCAGCAGTCTACTGTTATGGCTAGTGTACTGTTAGTCACACAGAAGCTATGCTTTCTGTAACAAAAAAAACTGAGTACTTTCACAGTTACATCAAGCAAAAAGCGATACTAGTTCTCTCTAGCAAATTCATAGTTTAATCAACTACGGAGATGCTCTAAAAAGCAGACCATTGCTTATGTCCCCTGTTGAAAGCAGAAGTTAACTGCATCTCTTTCAAGTCCCAAGCTGCCTATTAAGAAGTTTAGCTATTTAGCCTGAAGTGACTGAACTCAGAGAAATTCCCAGAGGATTTAGTGTGATGAATAATAACATTCCAAGTACTTGCAGAGAGCTTTACTCAGTTTACATAAAACTAATTGTACAGTGAACTAAAAGTTTCAATTTCTTAGCCTATGAAATACTCACTTTGGTGAGGTACTCTCTCATCACTTGGATGAAATAAGGCATTGCGAAGTCCATGATATTATGCCTCCATGCCAATTCAAGGACTACATCTGGGTGCAGCAAGTCGTAACATGTGAAAAGGCAGGCTGCAAAACACTCCTGCTTGCCTTCTTCCAGGAACCACTGAAGCAGCTTTTCTGCTAGTTCTACATCTTTGGACTCTGCAGCATACTGCATAGCATCCTGCAGAAAAGGACAACAGTTAAGCTTGACCCTTGCCTGTCAGCTTCTTGCTTTCTACCTTACGTACATGCTACTACTAGCTAGATGAGTGGGGTATTATGCAAAACATGAAGTTAGTCTTTCATATCAACACACATGTTGTGTAGGAGCTAAGTCAAAACATATGTGCTCAGTTAAGTCCTCTTATTTTGAGTGAAAACTGTACAGATGCAACTGGTAGATACTGAGTGATTTGAGTACAGGATAACATTATCAAGCTAGATTTAAGATATAAATTTGAAATTGCAAGCTATTCTACTCTAAGATTCTTTCCTTAAATTCCAATTGAAAGGCTAAGATTTATTAGAACAAACTAAAGATATGGAAATAACAGAATTCATTCAATTTCCAGAAGATCTATGCTTCACAGATCAGACTTTTGACGGTTAGGAAGAAAGGCTGCATTAACTCACCTTATACAGATGGTCTTTCTTGCATAGCTCCACGCTCTGCTTCCAGCGGTTGTTACCCTTATACAAGTATGCTGCAATACGCCTAAATTCAATGAGCTCATGCTTTTCCAGACGCTGAGCCAAAGCTATGTTATCAAAGTTGTCATAGGCATCAATGGAAGTTCTCAAACCCTGTTTGAGAGAGAATTGTTACCCATGCTTCCAGATGGTAGTAGCACTACAGAAGAAAAGCATAGCTCACAAATGCTTAGGTTTTTCCAGCTGGATGTTGATGCTATGGCTGGCTACCGCTTGTTTGCCATGCACATTTCAAGCTTTTCTCTTGAAGGCTGTCCTTAATATAACTGATATCTGCTTCATTTTCAGGTTATCATATTGTGACCCATCCATGCCCCCAAAGGGTCTGATTATACAACTCCATTACTGTTGCACTGCAGAAGATCCCTTCTGCTCAAGGAAAACATGCTTTATCAGCTTAGAAACAATCAAACTATGTCTTCATCTCATTGAAGAAGATGCATGCCTCAGAAGCACTGGTACCTTTTCTGAGGCTTACCTGGTAGTCCTCCTCCTGTGTTAAAAGGTTGTTTAGAGCTTCATTAACTCCTTTATTATTGTGGTTCTGCACTGAACGCAAATAAGGCTTTACTAGAAGCAGCTGATTAACCTGGAATTGAGATATTTTTAATACAAGATTAAAACAGGAATATTGAGTGTCACAACAAATTCCCATTCATTATTACAAAAGTTTATGCCTATTTTCAGAATCCTTCAGAACTGCCAGCATATCATTTTGTGTTGCCAGAAGTAAAATCAAACGGCCTCTTAGGGCAGTTATGCTGACTCTTCTAATGCTTCCCATATCAAACTAGGATTGGACTGCTTCTCAGTCCTTTATGCTGGAGGTAAAACCACCTGACAGATACCAGCTCTTTCTTCCCAAACAGAGGCTGGACTTCCTGTTTATCCAGTATCTCCCAAACTAACCTTCAAGAAAAAATTGACTGTCCTGGTGTGATCCAGTCGTGGAGATAATACAAGCAGAAGATCGTTGATCAGCAGAGGTTTGTAGTCTAAGTAGAACTGCAAGGCTTTGTAATACAGCTCCACATTCGCCACCTGTGTGGTTACACACTAGTTAGTACTTCAAATACAAGTAAATTTAAGTTGCTTAGTTTGGATCACTAAACTCAGTACAAAGTTTATCTAATTCTTAAAGGAGTAGAAGGAAACTTACAAGCCAGAAGCTTTACACTTGCATTCAGAATTCCTGTTCAATTTTAGAGTGCTCTTTGTGTCATCTGCTTCCAGATGGTGAAGTCACAACCTACCAGGAGTAGTCCAAACCAATACGAACTCATCTACTGTTAAGAGATCCTGGTATCGGCATCCCAGTAGACTTAGAGGTAATGTGACCACGTGTTGAACACCTAAAGACTGTAGTCTTAACCACTCAGTTATATACATATATATTTTTGCCTTGAAATCTGTAAAACCAGTAAGAATAGGAACACAATCTGGAATCTTATCTAAACTATTCATCATCCCACTATTCTCCACTACATTCATAGGACTGGCCAGCCCAGTTCTCCCACTGAAACAGCTAGAAACATTTGCAAAGGTCTCTCAAGAACTGTTACACCCTCAGACAAAGACAGTGGTCAGGTCAAAGAAACTAAGGAGGTTATACCTCCTGCCTGTAATCTATGATCCTGAACAGACCCTGAAAACATTGTCCTACCTGATGTTACTCAACAGGATGTGAGGCACAACAGAAAATGAAGGATACAAGCTTCTATTAACATGTCTTTATAAAAAATTTGTAAGTTTTAACTACAGCAAGAAAACATGGAAAAAATAGCTTAAGCAAGTCTTTCTAAATGGGGATTCATTCTGTTGTGCAATTTTGCCACAGTTCTGAAATAATCCTTCAGCACCTTAACTCAGTTAACTAGTCATACCAGACTGTCCTAACTGAAAACAGAACACTTACCTTGGCAATTATATCTTTAAACTGTCCTTCCTTCCAGGCATCAGTAGGATGATTCATCATAGTAATTATTGCATTATCATACTCCTCGTATTTGTCATAGAGGAATACAAGTTCTGCCCAGAGATGAGCCTGTTCTGCAGCTCTGAGCACCTGATATAAAAGAAGAAAAATAAAAGAAGAAAATAGTCAATCCAATTTACTGACATCTTCCTTTCTTCACTTGTATTCACTAACATCATCCTAACTTTGCTTGCAATGTAGTTGCTGAATACCTTTGGAATATTAACTCTAGACCAGAAGAGCTCCAGATGTTCCCTCATTTTCTGGGGCTTAAATTTGGAGTATAAGATGGCGAGTTCAGTAAACATTCCCATGTGAGCACGCTCTAGGCCCAAAGCAGCTTCCAGAAGGGCAATCAGTTCTTCAAAGTAGCCACGATCCTGGATGTTAAGAAAATAAGGGTTAATTGCAAATTGCAAATTTATGGCCAACTACCACTTAAAGCTTAATTCAATAAACTCTCCTTCCCAAATGAGTTTTCTAAGACACTATTCCAGTGACGCAATGGAATTGTAAAAGATGGGAAACTGAAAACTACCATCCTTACATTTACTATAAAAAAAATTGCATGCAACTATTGCGAAATGAAAAAAAGTGTATTCAATTCACTTCTTCAGTCATTAAAAATCAGTCTCACAGGTTGTCAAGTTTTAGCTGTGACTATTTTATTAGCAGATATAAGCAAGCCATATAAATTTTCTAGGGCATAAACAGTGACCTAACCTGATAATAACTAATCAGCTCTTCAAGTTCATCAGCATGGATGACTATATGCAAGCCACATATCTGTGCCAAGCGGAATTCTCTTCCATCCACACAGGCAAAACATACCTGCAATGAGAGGTAACAAATGGCGAGTTCACAGCAGAATACTGCAATGCTTATGTCAATTCCTCATATCAAAGAGCAAAGTTGATTAACAAAGCTTTACCAAATTCAAGGCTTACTCCAGTTCCAAACAGATATTACTATAATGATTGTTCTATAATTAAAGTATGCGTCATTCATTTCACACTGTTATAAAATCCAGCTCTATAATTTTGGGGAGGTGACAGCTGATAGATACAGACATGCTCTGTAGCCAGAAACGATTAGCAAGCCACAACCAGAGATCATTGTAGATGGACACAAATCAGCTGTTCTTTAATTCCCACATTACTGACAGAGCAAAGGAGCCCAGTTATGCTCCAAAGAACACATTTTATAAACAAAAAACACAAGTTTCAAATTACCTCCTTCCAAGTCCTTGTGCTGTTGGCTTTGCGGCCACTGTCCACTGCTGCCTGGTACTCTCCAAGGTGCACCAAGGTAGATGCCAAGCGAGCAAAGTTAGAAACATTGTTATAGAGTAGTTTTGCTGCTTCATACATATCCTCTTCATAACAACGATCACCAACCTGGATTAGGAGTCCAAAGTAAGCAGGGGTAACAGCAAGAATCAAGTCAGCTAAGCAGCAAGTCAGACGTGGGAACAGTGATCAAGGCATACCTGCTGTATATGGGCATTATTAGGGCCGCTAATAAATTCCTCCAGTTCTGAAAGACGATTAGTTTTTGCAAAGGCAAAAATAAGTTCTGTCTCTACATAAGACTCTCTAGCCTTCTTCCTGGCCATCTGCAAGAACTTGACTAGGTCCTCCCAGTTATCTTGAAGAAAGAAGAAATATTTAATGCCCTTTATTTAGTTATTCTGTATTGCTCCCCTTGCCCATGTTAGGAACAGTTTCTACTAGAATACTCCGTGACACTGATACTAAACCACTCACATTTTAGATAAGGTATTCCCCACTAAACAACGGGCCACTGTCACGCAGCCATCAAATTCTGCCACATACAGTTAAATCAATACACTATACTTGGCTATAATTAGGCCATAACTGTCTAAATTATCTCTACACAAAGGTCTCTCTTCAATGTAGCAATACAGACAAGCTTTTTGACAGGAATCTCACTAATCTATAGATTAGCTGATCCAATTTACTCTGAAACATAATTTGCAAATCTCAGGAATCCTTACCACTTCAGGTAGATGAAATAACCCGATTCATATCTGAGCATCCTTAAGTTTGAGGATGATTTGGCTTACCGTTTCTATTAGCTGCTTGAACAACTTCCATGTAGGCAGATGGATCATCTGCCTTTATATAGGAGTCAATGGCTTCTTTTACCAAGTCTTTCTGCAGCTGTGCTCTGGCTAGCTGGCTCCATACTGCTGGCTCATTACATCTCTCTGCAAATTCATAAGCACGGTCTAAATTCCCAATGTGCTCAATCAGCACCTGTTTGAAGTCAAAGTGGCAAGTTAAAAGAAAAATTAAAAAAAAAAAAACAAAGCCTTAGATTGTCCTTCAAATATACAGGTTGTTTTAAGCAAGCAATGCAAAGCTAACTAACTGCCTCTAGGAAAGGTTATTTCCATCCAGTAAAGTAGAGGCAGCAAGAATAAAACTCCTGCTGCTATCATTTCTCTTCTGCCTTGAAATCAGTATGCTGTCCTGCAGATACTATTCAGTTCTCCTATCCCCTTCAAGAGTGATTCTTAGTGGCTACTTCAGAATCTTAAACTCAGCACACATGCAAGCAAGTAGCACAACACACAAACATTCTTAATTAGTTTGAACAGATATGCATCTGAAGTTATTACTTTGAATTTGTTCTGCTATTCTTCACACTTATTCCCCTTCTCCTTACAATTTGATATCATGTAGGAACCATACTGTTACATTTCAGAGATTTAAGCTACAGTTGCTCTGGGAGAGTCAATAACGATATACTTCTTCCCATTCTTTCTATTACTAGCATTCTATACCTTCATGAAGGAATCACGCCTCACCTGAACTGCTGAAGTATTAACATCAAACTTTCTGAATATAGCAAAAGCTTCCTCATACAGCTCATTACTGATGGCAATGTTCGCAATATCTGGAGCATCATAGTTATCCAGTCGATTAATGTATTCCATTACACGAGTGCGGTCAGCCTTAATGGCAGTCAGGATCAGCAGATTCTGGAGATTCCTTTGGTTAACAAAAGGCATAGGCAGTGCAAAATAACATCTACTTAAGTGACGCATATTGTACATGCAACAAAAGCTACATACAGCTACTTGCTGTTGATAGCAACAACCTTTCATCCCCAGATTGATGAGTATTGATATTTGCCTTGCAAAAGAAATGGCTTGCCAGTGTTGGTGCTGTCTTCTTTCAATAATTCATTGCAAATTGAATAGCATGAATGAGCTTTATATTTAAAACACACAGCACCTCAAATTTTCACCTGACAATTCACATTTAGGAGTATTTTGGTTGTATATCCAAGAAATCCACAAATAACCTGGATTACTTTGCAACCTAAACAAACATACTTAAATGTGCTAAGTTTTGGGGGGAAATGCTCTCCTCTTACCTGTGTTCACTGAATACAGAATTATCCAAGACAATTTTTTCCAATAACTCAATTAATTCATTCGGAAGGTCTGCAGTCATGAAAGCTTTCACAGTGACAGAAACCTCCTCTGGATCCTGTGTCTCTGATAAAGCTGTTTGGACAACCTGGATTTGAAGGTGGGAGAGTATAAGCCTTTCCAAAATGAGATTTCAGTGAGCAACAATGTAAGGTTTCAGAACTGTCATCCTCAGCAAGAAAAAGCTACTTCTGAAGTGGATATGGCTATTAAAATCGCACTTTCAAAGTGCGTAGCAAATGAACTAGAGGCACATCACTTCTTAGCAAGATACTGCTCTTTCCTATGTTTTCTGACCATGAATTTCTGAGCTAATACTTGACACTCAAACTTTTAAACTTCCACACAATTGAGATGAGGCCTCAGGGGACCTTGTGGGAGAAGCCAGTTACTTTAACGTTCCATAGTAGGTCTGAGTAATTCTTATACTGAAATAGCTTATCCTTTGCAACATACTTGGTCAATAAGCTGGCGCCGGAATGGGTTGTTTTCTTCTAGAACATTTGCCCAGAGTTCAGGGTCCTTCCTGCGTACTAGATAGCGAGCCTCACTCTTAAATAGTGAGTTCTCATTGCATACCTGAAGGAGAAGATTCAAATATTAGAATTAATATTGAAGGTAAGTATCACATTACAGGGTTAACTAGCTATGAGTCAGACATTCTAAAAGACTGACTAAAACTAGTTGCTGATCAATGCTAATGCCACAAAGTTCTTACCCAACCTTTGATCTGGAAGGCTCATGGAGAAGGTCTCCAGAAGAATTCCTATAGCTTCTCTTGGTTTTGCCCGACACACAAATACTGTGACAGTGGCTTCACAGTAACTATTTACTTCTGTTTGAAGTGAAGACCTGCAGAAGCCTGAAGAACTTAAATTTTAAATCTAGAAAGGGAGTCACTTACTTGGGCAGTGTTAATAGTGAATTGAGGAATGGTGCTTGTTTTTAAAGCCAGAAATAGTTACATATTTGGTGTCATTAATTTTACTCTAGAAGTGTTCAGAGTAATGAAATGTTCAAAGTGGCTAGGTTTTCCCTGTTAAAATGCAAATAAATGTGGGATTTCCTACAGAAGTGCAACAAGTAGCTATGAATTATGACCTTATTAGTGCCACTAGTTTATATTTCCAGCTGAAAGAGTAGAAATCTGAAGGCCTATTCACTTTCTTCTACCAACAGGTCATATTTTGTTAGTACCACAATTAGCTCTTGAAAGTACTTTGCTGTAAGAAAAGAAGTAGTAGCTCACTTTTATTTTTCAATATACATTTATGAGTTGCCTAGTTACAGATGTTGAGCCCATTCCCAGGAAAGAGCAATGTTACAGGAGGAAGAGTTTTCATACATATCCAGAAAGTTAAAACTTATCCTAGCAATATCTCCTATTAAAACAATTGAGAGCCACCTTCGTATCCTGAAGTAAGAAATGAGCTGAATACAGCTAGCTACACATTTTAACTTTACAGTTACAGAGAAGGTATCACTTCAAAAATAGTTGCTTCAGACAGGGAAGTTCTCTCTTTTCAGAGAAAAACTAGATAATACCACCATTCCAACTGCCACAGTGCGAGTCCTGTCAGGAAATAACATTTACTTCCTTTTTTAAACAGGGTAAAAACAAATCAGTTCTTACCCCTACGCAGCTGACAATCTTTGCATGTACTATCATAGAAGCGCAGGTAGGAGAATGCTTTCTTTCACAGCAGTCACTAGCATTGCAGTCTGACATTAAGCTCTAACGCTCAGTATAAGACACTACGTGTCTGGAGAACCACACAAATTTCATTTGCCCCTGAACTTCTAAGGGAAGTTTGAGAAATGAATAAGTTTTAGATAGGAGAGTAATGCTATCTGAACTGGTCCTTGCAGTTCAACTGTTAACATTTATTTTTCCTTGTTCTAGCTGTGCATCAGAGCATCTCTCTGAGGGTCAAACACGACAAAGGAAAACCACATCCCCTTTCTAGTTTCAAACTGAAGTTTCAGGGAAACTCTTCTTCCTCCTGTAGTCCTATGTTAAATTAGGTTGCAACTTGTCCCTTCTGCTGATCAAGTGCTCAAGGCTCAAAAAAAAAAAACAACCTAAAGTTAACAAAGATTTAACAGTTGTCATACTTATCAGCTAAGCCCAGCAAACTTGATCTAGTTTTGAGCAGTCTGTGGATGAAAAACATGAATGGTCCCTTAAATCTGCAATTACATAATTTTAGTTGGACATAGAGCATTATAGTTCCTCGTTATGATAAATGTTACTGCCTCCATGCAGAAGATTCATGTCTACCTCAAATCCTGAGTGAGACTGCAAGACAGGATTCTGCAAATGTTAGACAAATTGCTAACTCAGCTTTCACCTCAGGCAGCAAGTACATTCTTTAACATGTTTATAAAAGCAATTTTGCTAACCTTTATGAGTTCCAGATCACACTGGCCCCTCTCATATGCAACGCAGGCCAGATGAGGGTCTCTCTTTTCACAGTATTTGCCAACTACACGACTGTCATAGTATGGATTCTCACGAAGGAACCGCTCTGGATTATTATTACTGTCAATGTAGATTTTGGCCAAGGCATTATGAGTTGCAGGTTCTTCACAGCCTTCATGAATCCTTGATTCAAGCCATGGCAACAGCAATTTAAGCCTTTGAAGAAGCAAACATTTGAGGTTTGTAAATTGGGCTAAGAAAGCCTGACAGGTACCAACTAATATTCAGCTGTACGTGAAGACAGGACAAGGGGAAATGGCCGAAAACTGGAGCATAGGAAGTTCCGCACAAATGTGTGCAAGAACTTCTTTAGGTGAGGGTGACGGAGCACTGGAACAGGCTGCCCAGGGAGGTGGTGGAGTCTCCTTCTCTGGAGATATTCAAGACCCGCCTGGATGCCTACTTGTGCGACCTGGTGTAGGGAACCTGCTTTGGCAGGGGGGTTGGACTCGATCTCTAGAGGTCCCTTCCAACCCCTACAATTCTGTGATTCTGTAATATCTGGCCATACCTGACCTTCAGTTAAATGTAAGAGAAGCCTGCAGGTTCCACTAAGTATTGTCATCTTTCTTCTCAACTTCTGTTCTATTACATGGCTCTCAACACTTAAAATCATGTTTTTCATTTTACAAGTTGCTGCAAATCGATTACACAAGACACTGTGTGCCAAAAATGACACTGTGAAGACAATTTTATCTAGATTTACTCCAAAGGCACATCTCATGGATGGCTGTACAGCAAATTTAGAGTTCAAATGCTGTATGTTCATCATGTAGTGCTGTTGAGCATTCCTATATTGCTGAAACAACCAGGAGACTTGCTAGCAAATCTAAGCTGTTTCTCTATAATAAAGACACAAAAAAACAATATTAATATTGTAACATTCAAAAAAACTGCATCCAACTATATATCAGGGTCAGAAAAACCTGTGAATGGTGTTTACAGGTGTATCTTCATTACCGATTTCTTTTTTCCACTTCAGCCACCAGCTCATCTGTTGAGAACTGGCCTCTAACCACCATGATCAAGTTCTTAATGACATCTTCAGAACAATCCACATCAAGAAGTCCTCCAACTACTGCTGGTATGCGGCTGGGGTTCACCTAGAATAAGCCACCACTATTAAAATCAGTTATTAGTGCTATTAATAACCCATCCCCTGTCTTCCACACAAAGTTCTACTTAAAAGTTTAAACTATGCTTTAAGAGCTGTGAATTTTAAGTTGCTAATGCATTTTTATGTGAATTCTAGGAAAAACTCTGCTTGTAGGTTTGTGATAGACTCAGTAAAAAGCATCTGCATAAGTGTGAGCATGAAATATGCAGACAGATCTGCTTTAATTTTGGGTCTGTTTAGCTTGGAGAAAAGAAGGTAATGGGGAGACCTCATTGCATCCTTTCAGCACCTGAAGGGAGATTACAAGCAGGAGAGGGACAGACTTTTTACACAGTCTGATAGTTACAGGACAAAGGGGAATGGCTTTAAAGTAATTGAAGGAAGATTTAGGTTAGATGTGAGGAAGACTTTTTTATTCAGTGGATGTTGAGGTGCTGAAACAGGTTGCCCAATGAGACTGTGGATGTCCCACTTCTGGAGGCATTCAAGACCATATTGGATGGGATCCTGGGCAATCTGATCTAGTGGGTAGCAACCCTGCTGATGGTTGGAATTAGGTGATCTTTAAGGCCTCCTCCAACCTAAGCCACTCTAAGATTCCATGATTAACAAACCAAAAGGTTAAATTTCTTAGAAAGAAGGAAAGGGCAACAACTTAAAAGTGCATTTGTCTTACCTTCTGTACATAGATCTCTATATACTTCTGCAGGCTATTGCGATATAAGTAGAGCACCAGGTCATGAACAAAGTCAAATCGATCACAGACAATGATCAGAGGAAGCTGGTCTGTTAGCTTTGCCTCCTATATTTTGTGTAGAAAAAAAATGTGAGAAAGCATTCACCGTTTGTTAAAGCATTTTCAAAGTAGTATAGCATAATTGAGTTGTTTCAGAACTAGAAATGGCAAAACATTCAAATTTACGACTTCTGAGCAAACAATTAACTTCAAAAGCAAGTTAACCACTATGAAAATCATATGGTCAGTCTAGCAGTTGAGTTTTAAATTTAAGCTCTTCAACAAGTCACACATTAGGCCTACATCCCTAGCTTCAGCAGGACTATCTATTCAAATATTCATCCAGAAGACCATTAATGGGCCAAGAACTTAATGCAAAAATAAAATGGCATTAAAATCCCACTTTACCAGTCACAAAGTATGCAAAGCATCATGACAGTTGACTCCGGTTTTACTAAGCTTTGTCTAATCAATGCCTTTGCTAAAGTTTCAGCTGAATACTTCAGCATATTACTTCCTTCTGCCAACACTGATCCGTCTACTGTTAGGTGACGATAGCTTGTAACCAACTCAATCTCTGTACACCAGTTGAAGGAGGAGAGTGGTGGGATTGGGATGCTTTCAGTCCACTTCAGTCACAGCTCCAAGCTACTCAGACACTGGAGCTGTGTCTACACTAGCAAACAAGAGGCATGAAGGCTGGTATGCAACAGTCCAGCTGTTTAAACAGACGTGTTTTGGATCACGCCAATTCAACACCATGAAAACGACCGATGAACAGTATGTGGGCATAAGGGAAGGTTGATGGTTGGACTAGATAATCTTTCTGGTCTTTTCCAACCTTACTGATTCTATGGGTTAATTTTACAGGAACTGTGGTTTTTCCAGAGATAGCCAAGAAGGAGCTCCTGCATGCCTGGAAAAGGACTGGATTCCTACTCCACTTACATAGGTGACTATTTATAGCCATGTCAGTTAAAACTTGAGTTGGTTTTCTCCTCCCTTTAGAAGGCTGAAGTTCTGCTACTCTACAGAGATTGATTTGTTGGACAGAGAATTTACCTTCAGAAAGTTCTTCACCCGTTCTGGGTTATAGCAGTTACTTTCACGGCAGATTCTTTCTACTTCCTTTATCTGACCAGTTTTGCAAGCTGCCTGGATATATTTGAAGTGAACATCTGGATCCTGGCTGAAGTTTACAATGGAACCCAAGAAATAGAACAGTCCTAGAAAGAGTTACATTTTTGATCCAGTTAGAAGGACAAGTGAAGTAAGTACAGACTTATGAACTTCATTTTATAACTTAGTTCAACACTGCTAAGAGTAGTTTTCATTTAACTACAGGAAAATCAATTTTGGTTTTTTTTTCCTCCTTTCCAGATTCTTCTGAGAGAGAGCTAAAAAACTTCCTAGAACAAGAGTTATCCCAAGAATGCACTTGAATAAATGCATTCTAGGATCCAGCCAAGTGAAAGTACCTTTCCCATAAAAGCTGAGGTCCTTAATATCTGCTCTTCCTTTTAATACTGTACCTTCATAGCTTTTGAAAGATTCAAAAAGCTCCACAAGAGACTGGGTGCCAAGCTGCTCATGATATTTAGAAGCAACCTGTACACAGAGTTGTAAGTTTTGCCTAATGTTGGCTGACAGCATAGCACGCAAGCATTCTACAGAGTCTTCAACAGAGAGAGAGCCAAAGAAATTCACAAGCCACTGCGAAAAGAAAGAAGCTTTACTCAGTAAGTTATAGAGGATTCAACCAATTTTTAAAAATGTGACAGTTGGCCAGAGTTTCTACCCCAGCTACCGTAGGTAAATCTTTCACACATTAAGACCAAAGACTTGAAATGAAACAGACTGACAGCCTCATTTTTTTACAACTAAAGCAAAAAAACAGCTTAGAAGATTTGAAATGCCCACCCAGGAAACTGAGGGCAAACTTAAGCCAAGGAAAGTATAGACTGAGGTCTAACAATTAACTGGATAAACGTTGTTGAGTCAGTTACATGTGCTGCTTAGGTACCTATAAAACATCTTAAAGCTGCTGCAGGAATTTTAGCAGCTACTGCAGTGCTAAGCAGTGGTCACTTCAACTACAGAAAACCTCAGGCTTTCATTTACACAGACTCACCTCAGGATTCAAGAGATGAGTATGAACAACAGCACGTTTAATATCATAGAGATCAGTGTAGTGTTCCAAAGCTCGCTGGAGCAAGCCTGCCTTTTCACATAACTGGGCAATATGAGCACGATCATAGTGTGTAAACATCTGGTTTCCAAGGATGGCATCTGCAACCTAGGAGATTAGATTTCATATGCAGACTGTTAGAAAACCACAACAGCTCAGACTAAAAGTTGTTGAAAAGACATAGCAGTGACTCACTCATAGTCTTTCATGTTAGTAAAATATATACACATCAGTATCAGATATCAGATTGTTGTAAGAACTTTAGATGCAGAATACCAGCATAAGCCTTTTGATTTTTCTCCTTCATTTTTTGGAGGAACTTGGTTAAGAGTCTTACCTGTGGGGCATGAATCAAATTCATTTCCAGGAGACGAGTCTGAAGGTGACCTTCTGCTGGGCGGTTATTTTTCAAAGCATCCAACAGAAAGGACGTGCATTGCTGAATAAGACTGTTCTCCATGAACACATCCACAATCTGTTGAGAATCATCAAGTTAGAAAAGGGAGTCCATATATACATTTTATATTTTTATATATAAATACATATACATATTTTTATCTGTACACACTAATAGCCTGTCTAGAAAGGCAGCTCATCCCAGCACTTAATATGCTATATTTACTTTTTTATCATAAGATAATAAAGATGACAAAAATTTCACACTTCCTTTTTCTCTAGAACTTCAGGTGTGCACTACTTTGACCTGTTATGCCAGACTTTGCCACCAACTATTTAGTTTTAACAAAGCAAGCAAAGCCCATCCCTTCTTTTCAGATAGGATAGTTTCTGCAAGAAAAGTTAACGCTTTTTCTAAATAACTTCACTTATTTAATAAAGTAAGTTGTTGTCTGATGATTTAATCACAAGTGGCCTCTGTGAGCAAGTGCTCATTTTAGTGCTCATTTATCTTCCTATAAATCCTCTGCTACCGTAAGAGTTCCCACGCGCTCTATTAGAGTCAGCAGGAGCCTTCTAAACTGACAGTAACATTCTTTATTGCTTAGACTAAGACTGCGGCAGATTCAGGATCAAGATTACTGTAATAGAGCCAGCTTGCACAAGAACTTTAGAGAACACTTGCCTCTAATGGCAACCAAACTTGACTAGTTTAGTCCCTTTTCTAACCAAGCCAACTAAAGATCTGAACTGGCCTTACCAGTTCCCAAAATGGTACTATGCTATTACCTCTGTCTAGAAAGAGACCAGTGCTCTTGTTGTAGGCATCACCTGGTTAATGTTAGCCAGTGGCTCCTCATCCTGTACCAGCATCTGAGAGAACTGCAGGCCCTGCTCAGGACTGACTCTCATCACACTTCTCAGCAAGAAGATCCAGTCTGGGGTATAGCCAACCTAGAGATTTCAGGAAGAGTCATCCATATCTTGAAAGCTTTAAAGATTTTAAGCCTTCTAAATCTGTAGCATAAGTGCTATGAGCCACACCGAAGCTTGTAACGCCCATTCTCCATCTTCCAGGAATTCTCAGACAAAAGCATTTGTATGTTAACACAAATTCAGTATTTGCTTATTTAACAACTGAACTTACTCTAGGGCAATTTTCTTGTTGACTCAGAAAATTACTAGAAACAAATCAAGAGTCTCAAGGCATTATCATACACAGTCCTAAATTTATAAGTGCACATCACACAAACTACTTAAATTCTGTCAAAAAAAATCTCTTCCTTAACAATTTAGGAAGAGTCATTTTTTATAATAAGCTTGAGCCAGTTCATAATTTGATAGTATACAGAATTCTGGAGGTTCTGATTTTAACTTTCATAGACCATACCATTAGACCTTAGTCACATACTATGAATTCTGCTATTTCTTAATCTTTGCTACTTATCCTGTTTTTGAGTAAGAGAAATCAAACTTCCCATGGAAGATAACTTGAGAATGTACACATTAAACATAAGATAGAATCCAGCAGCTTTTGATAAACAACTTTACCTTTTTAGCATACAGTACTATTTTCTGGAATTGACCAGTTTCAGCAAAGCACTGAATCACTTTGTTTGGCACATTAGCACGAAGATAGACACTGAGCGCAAGGGTTGGGTCAGCTGTCTTCACCAAGTCTCCCAGCTCCTCCGAACACTCCAGCTGAAGACAAGTGATATTTTGTCAAGCACAACTATCCATATATGTAGTATGAACAAAAGAGTAGTTCACACTCAACTGTTACAAGGCAGCTGAACTAAGTTAGCATCAAGATCAGGCCTACCTTGTCTTCCTTCAGCCATTTCTCCAGAAGTTGCTTGCGGCCTTGCTGTAGAACAGGGCGACAGAGCTCCAGAGACTCAAACTTGTTCAGCTGTCCCTGGTCAAGTAATATTCCAAAGTACTGGAGCAGTGGAGAGGCATGCCCTGGCTGAGCTGGTACACTCTGGAACTTCCTGATTGTATCACTGGTACGTAGAATTCCCTGTAGAGGCACACGATACAGAGAAGTAACATTTAATTTGTTAAAGCTGAGTAGTGTTAGAGAAAACAACCACCACCACCACCACAGCAGGTGTTAAGTTCATCTACACACTGAAGAATTTACTCTTAATCTTTCAGGGTGGAGATTTTAGATCAAACCTAAACCAAAGACCTTCTAGAAAGAAGTCAGTGCCCACAGCAAGTCAAGTCTGTGTTAGAAAAGTATGGCAGATGCTCCTTGATGGTATACAGGAGAATATATTAGACAGAACAATGAAGTAAACTAGAGACAGCTTAGGTTAGTATTGAAGCATTTTAGCTCTTGAATGTCAAGTGCTGAAGTGCAAGTCAACTAAGCTAAGGCAATCTAGATGGATTCTAACCTCTACCCTTAGAATAACTCACCTTTGGTGCAGATGCAGCTACTTTAGCAGCATCCGCATAGCTTCCTTGAGCAAACAGTGTGTTAAACTTTCTGGCAAATAATTCCTCTGCACCAGCAAGATTACTACGTATAGCCATACGCAGACCCAAGTCAGGATTCTGGAGAACATTTGTAGCATAGTTCACAATGTTGTCTTCCTCAACACATACAGAAAGCACCTGGAAAGGATAAAAGGTGTACCTAAGACCTACTGTCCTTTCCAATACTACTGTATATAACACAGCAATTGAGTATCTATTCAGCCTGCCAGCAAAGCAGCAGATTATCCAAAAAGAAAACAAGTCAGTTTCTCCTTTCAAGCAGTCTGTGCTAGGAGAGGTTAAAAAAATGGATAAAAATCAAGTAGTTACTTGATCCCTGCAATGATGTTTGTTGTATCAAGTCACTCATTAGGTTTAATTACATTCCATCTCAGCCTTAGAAGACTTAAAAACAGACTACTGGACTAGTTACCTGTCCTTTTTTGTTGACACCAATAATGCCTGAGGTAGGTTCATAAGAAGCTGTGACAAAAATAGTGTCGGCACTAATACGGTTCATGTAGATGCAAACTCCAGACTCCAAGTCATACATGTGAATATATCCATACTTTGTGATCAGGTAGATAACACCGTGCTTAATTCCAATCTGTCAAAAGATAATCTTTTACTAGTATAGACTAACACAGCAACAGTTAAGACAACTGCCTTTACCCTCGTCACAAGACAGTAGTGCAGTGACATGCCGTTGCACTAACGCTAGGAACAAATACAGCTTCAGGCTTCTCCATTACAAACTCAAAGCAATGAATGGCTCTGCTAGCCATTCAGAGCCACACCTCCACTGAACACATGCAGAAGGAAAAGTAAGATTCATCTGCAACAAAGACCATACTATTGTAATGAATGAGGATGAGGGATATAACTTGGGCATAATCAGTATTCAGGTCAGATATGCCAGTACAAGTTTCTTTTCAGAAGTCTTGTGTGATAATCCCACTCTTTTCCAGCAAGAACCAATCAAAACACCAGCAGAACCTGAACCAGGCTCAGCTGCTGAGGACTACTGTTTAGCTGTCAAGTCTCAAAGCCAAGGAGGCTTTCAAGCCAATACTGTATTTAGACAGAAGTACTTCTACTTTGGACCAAGTCTTCAGAGACCATGAAACCTGTCATGCACAGTTTGCATTGTTTACCTCAGTTCATTAAGGCTTATCTTGGTTTATTCACAAAGCTGGTATATTAGATTGGACAGCAGTTGCAAGATGGTTTGTTTTTCATATGCTAAGTGAAGTTTGGTCTGTTAAAGTAACCAGTCATGTTCTTTTCCTAAAAAAAAATTTCCTGTTAATATCCTAAAGTATCTTTTTCTCTGTTGCTACTATAGGAGGTAGACTAATATAAGGCTCTCCACTCTGTCTTATGACATTAACTGTAGATGAAATGCCAAGCACTGTAACACTCATATCTAAAACCCTAACAATTAGTAGACAATTCAATAGCCTGAAAAAAGCAGAATTATCCTGCTATCAACAAGCGTTATCAAATTAGACAAGAACTTAGAGTACAGCTGTTCTGACAGACTGCTTTCAATGCTTGGTATCTAGTTACTTTCAAACTCCCGTTATTAAGACAAAGCAAAAGCTCGTCAAACTTTCTAGCTATTCAAAAAGTTCTCACCGATGTCAGAGACATTCTACCAGAAGGCAAATGATTTTTTTTTTTGTGTGTTTTTTTGGTTGTATTAAAAAGAAAAGACAAAACTTCACCTATTCAGATAAATACAGCCTACATATTTATGTGAGAGTTACTGTTTTAATATCTAGTATGCTTCCCATAAATCCATTAACACCATTTCCAAAGTTAGGAAGAATAACAGCAGAGCAATTGTAGAAAGCGTGTTTGTGTTTTTTATTTTTAATGACAGATGCCTGCTATTTGCCAGGCTATTACGCTGATTTGCTTTTTTGGTCAAACATTTACCTGCATTGCCACAGGAAAGTCTGTCTGTGCCTCAGGTGGGAAAAACACATCAACAGCTTTCTTAACAAATGGCTGATTTCCAGTAGCTGGTTGACCCACTTCAATTATGTGAAGCTAAGAAGAAAAAGAGTACATGTCACAAGATCACTGGCAAATCCAGTCACATGAAAGAAGTTTCAATCTTCACATAAGCTGATTAAGTCATCTGTCACACTTGGCCACTAAGTATCTGTCCAATCCTGAAGAAATACACTGGGGAACTGTGCTCCAGATTTTTATGAGAGGAAAAAGAATAATTTAACCAGAACTTAATAATGCAAATACCAGGAAAAGCTAAATAATGTTTTCTATGAAAGCATACTGTATATTTCTATTTCAAGGCACTCAACTTGTTCCAGATGTTTTGAGTGAGACTTGTCAATTTATCAACAATTTGTAAAATATAAGAATAGAAAGAATAAAAAAGTTGTGATGTGACCTCCGCCCTTTACAGACTGCTAACAAACGTTGTAGGATATTGAACTGTGGTTGAGTCTCACTATCAATTACATGCAAACCTACCCACGCTGCTAAGGCTTACCTAGTCTCTTCTATACTAAATTTTAGACAAAAGGCTGCTTGATTACTTCATTTCATTACATAAAAACGTTTATGTATGTGAGCATAACTCGATGCTTTGATCTCAGTTCTCATTATATCTACATTGGTTCTTTTGCTTAAGTTTCACTAAAGCAACTTAGATTTTTAGCAGTTTCTATTCTATTAAAATAAAGCATTTACATACCAATTGAATATACTGCATATATGGTTCACAAGCTGTTCTTCAGTCAGCTGAACAATGCGATTGCTGAAGTTCTACTAGTAATGAGCTGTGCTATACCAGAACAAGAAAACAGATGCAAACTTTACCTTGCCTCCTGCAGGACTCCTCACAGCAAAACAAAAGAGGGTGGAAGGTTTGGCATTTCCCTCTATTTTGAATTCCGCAAAAGCTGCTGCATGGCCCTCTATAGGTTGGGAGACTTTTCTATCAACAGAGTAGAGCTGCATTGCACCAACCACGCGATTTTGCTAGGGGAAAAAGGAAAAAAAAGTCAGCTTTTAGAGATAAAATTTCAAATATTTATAGAACAAGACCTTAGGGACACTTAACTAAGAAGAGACAACTGCCTCTCATCCCCTCCACCAATGTTTTAATCATGTTAAAGGTCAGGTTATTCTTCCAAAATAGGAATTTTTGAAGCTTTGATCTAAAGAATATAAAGTTAAGAAATAACAGCTATAAGCAAAGGAAAACAGAACAAAGCTCTCCTGACCATTTTCATAGCATGATAATTCCAAGTAACTTACCTGTGCTGAAATTCCTATCAGCAACAGCCATTTTTGATGTTCATCAGTTCTGTAATTGATGATTTGGCAGCCTGCAAGACTAGCATGCCTGTCAAACATCTTTTGGGGCTGAGATTCTCCCTCCATGCTCCAATGGTAGACTGCTGTCTCTGTCACCAAGGCAACTGTATTCACAGATATCCATTTCCAAAAGATCACCTCCTCCGCCATAGCGTGGGCTTTCATTTTACTTTTCATTTCAATGTTAAAAATCTGAAGTGTTTTTCCAGCTGGTATGACAAAACCCAAGAAACATCATTGATCAATTACTGTAATAGCCATCCTGTAGTTTGCCTACTTACAATTCTGCTTAACCTGCTATTCTAGTTAGTGATCTTACAGGCAGAGTTACTGCCATGTCACACCCAAGTGTCCTTTGATACTTGACTCGTACCAAAACGGAAACCCATCCCAACCCTTAACTTTCTCCAGCCACAAAGCAAAAAGTGTCTTTATGGACACTTACATGACATTCCAACCAACAACTGACAAGCAAAAACATTCTGACTAACTACAAGGTGTAGTTATAAACTATCTAAGCACACTGTTTGAGTAAATTCTGGCTTACGTAGCAGCACTGGGATATCAAATTATAGTCATCTAATTGATATAATTCAGTATAATAGAAAGAATGGCTCTAGTTTGCGTCAATTTAGTAGCTTTTGTAGATCACCCAGACTGAAGCCAACAGCAACAGACTTGCGACAGCTCTTGAAATAGCCAGACCATGGCTTCCATTTCTTTTTTTTGCTGGAACCAAACAGGCTCTGCACTTATCTGGGAAATGGATGGGCTCTGTTGAAGAGGGCATTAAAAAGGTTAGAAAGTTTATAAAAAGGCTTGGAGCTTTAGTTCTATAAAAGATTATTGTTTCACAATTTGGGTAACCACACTGAAGCTTTAAGCTTGACTTCAGCGTTCCTCTGAATCACCAGAAGAAACAAGGGTAGAATTACAACTAAAATAACTGAGCCAACTCTGAATCACCAGAAGAAGCAGGGGATAGACTTACAACTTATATAACTGACACAACTCCTTTTCAAAGAATAAGGAATTCTGTGTCTTGCAGGAAGTCAAAGTGTTATTTTACTTAGCTGCAAATGAGAGAATTTAGCTCTAGGAAATACCATTTGCTGTTCACAAGACACCTGGCTCAGACTGCTAGAGTATTGGTTTGCATTTCCTTTACTTGCATATTTCTGAAATGTCCTTTCTGGGTAAAGAACTGGCTGGATGGTCAGGTGCAGAGTGGTGGTGAACAGAGTCACATTCAGCTGGTGGTCAGTCATAATTAGGGTTCCCCAAGGGTCAGTACTGGGGTCTGTCCCAATCAAAATCTTTACTGATGTCTTGGATGAGGACACTGAGCATACCCTGAGTAAGTTCACAGATGACACCAAGTTGGGAGGAAGTGTCAATTTGCCTAGGAGTCAGAAGGCCCTACAGAGGGATGTAGACAGGCTGGATAGCTGGGCCAATGGGATGAACTCCAACAAGACCAAATGCTGGGTGCTGCACTTCGGCCACAACAACCCCAGGCAATGCTACAGGCTTGGGGCAGAGTGGCTGGAAGATTGTTTCTAGAGGAAACAGACCAGGTGGTATCAGCTGACACTCAGCCATGAGCTAGCCATGTTCCCAGCTGCCGAAGAAGGCCAGTGGCATCCTGGCTTGTATCAGAAATAGCATTGCCAGCAAGAGCAAGGAAGTTATCAACCCTCTGTACTTAGCACTGGTGAGGTGATACCTCAAGTATTGCATTCAGTTGTCATGTTTTTTTCCTCCTTTCCTTCCTTCCCATTCTGTGGTATCGGGGGGGTGGGGTGGGGGGGGCAGAGGCCTACTGCCCCCTGTCACAGGCACAGATTGATCTAGTTAACTCTGTTAACTAAATTTTGGTGGAGAATGGGGGCATAGCTGCTTTTTAGCTTTTAGAAAAAAATCTCTCTCTCTGGTCTTAGAGAGCTTCGTTAGGGAGCATTATCAGTTCAGGTTTTTGTGCTGGAAAACTTGACCTTGAAAGACCAGGCATACTGCCAGTATTCTGGGATATATGTAAACTTTGAGCATTGCTTAGTCTGGGTAGTGCCTTTTTTTTTTTTCTCCCCCTTCTCTCTTGTTAGCTTCAATTCATTAATCCCTTTTTAGCAGATACCAGCAATGAACCCACTCTTTATCATGGGGGCGCTGTGTAAGGGATTAAAAGCTATGGTGTTACTCGCTACCTACTGGCCAATCATCAATGTCATCATTACTTGTTGTGGAATTGTGTTCATATGTAACCACATAAGGGCACTGATGGAAGCACCTGTATGGTACCTATATGCAATGTGGTATGATTTAAATTTTTACATTTGCATCCCAGGTGGAATGGCTAATTTTACAAACAACTACATCCCAAATGGAATAACTAATTTTACAAACCACACAATGTTCAGACCAGTTTCCAGGCTTTCCTCTCAGTTTATCAGACGTTTTTCAAATACTATGCTCACGTTTGTGGGCGTAGCCCTGTTCATATCAATCTCACTGAATGTATTCCAATACAGGCATGGTAAGCGGAAGGAATCTCCTCCAAAACCAGACAATGCTGACTGGCAGGGAATATGGAGAGGTTTAGGAAAAATCTTAGAAGCATGGGGACCCACAATGTCATGGGATTTCACTCTTGAACACCTGTGGGATCCAGAGAAACTAAGCCAATATTTGAGTCAAGCACAGTGCAGCTTACATAAATCTAAGGAGGTACAACTTATTTGGGGTTTGGCTTGTGCTTACCGCGCCCTACATAACACTATTCTGGAGAGAGAGAGTTTCCGAACTGAGGTTCAAGCCAAAGGGGAGAATCTCCAAGTCAAATCTGATCAATTACAGGAGACACCAGTAAAAATATCAGTTGCCCCTATGGAAGGCAAGAAATGGAAACGAGTGGCTTCACGTCTAGAACGGAAAAAAGAAGCAGTGGAGGAGGAAGTGGAGAAAGATCCAGGTGAGGGGCCCTCCTCAGAACCACCATCATCGAGAAAGGCAAAAGGAAAAACTAAGAGACATGCAGAAGAGAGTGATGAAGAGGAAGTCTCTATTACTACTCGTCGACCTCTGAAGATGACTGAAATCCAAGGCTCAAGGAGTTTACACTGCGCCCACATGAAACTCTCGTTTCCTGGTTAGTTAGCTGTTGGGACGGCGGAGCCAGTAGCTTGTCTCTAGATGGTAATGAAGCTCACCAACTAGGAGCCATTGCCAGAGATCCAGCTATTGACAGAGGAATTAGTCGATGTTTGGATGCGGCTGCCTCCCTCTGGGAACGAGTGTTAATAGCCGTGAAGGAAAGTTACACCTTCAAAGTTGGCTTAAAGCCTGTGATGAAAAGGTGAGATACAGTTGAAAAGGGTATTCAGTATTTTAGGGAAACAGCTGTGGTGGAAATGTTGTATGACCCTAACTTTGTTCCTAACCACCCATGCCAAGACAATGACCCTGAGAGAGTGAGGACAATGCCTGATATATGGCAGAAACACACAACACCAGCACCAGACAGATACGCTGGTGGCATACAGATACACTAATGGCAACGTTTGACAGATACCAGGACCAACAGAGAAGACCCTTAGTTTTTGAATTGATTTTTACGCCCCAAAGCTACAAACAACAGCTATCCCCAGCTCACGCTTCCATTCCCACCATCTCACAAATAATGGACCAACTGAATGAAATGCAAGAGTAAGTGTCTTTACTGATTAATCATGACAAACCTGTAGTAGTATCAGAAACGCTTGATGAAGATCAGGATAATCAAAAGAGTCTAATGAAGGAGCTAATCAAATTAATGCGACTCCAACTAACTAAAGATGATGAACCCTCCTTCTCATGTGCACCATCAAAAAATCTCAGCTGTTAGAGGCAAACGCTTTCCAGTAAGGAATCCTACATCACAAATTGCCTTATGGCGTTACTGACGTAACCATGGAGAAGACATGAGGAAGTGGCATGACCAAGCTACTCCTGTACTACAAGCACGGGTGAGAGAATTACCAAGCAGATCAACCACCAGTGCAGTAGCTCCGGTTACCACAGGTAATGAATAGAGGGGCCCTGCCCTCAGTCAGGGGGGGAAGGGATAATAGAGTTTATTGGACTGTGCCAGGCCATCGAATCCACACATCAGAACCACTGAAATATAAGGCATTGGTGGATACCGGTGCACAGTGCACTCTGATGCCCTCGAGTTATGAAGGAACAGAATCAATCCATATTTCTGGAGTGACTGGGGGCTCTCAAGAATTGCCTCCAACACAGTCAAGTCTAACACTGGCAAGAAAAAAGTGATATTCTTACAATCTGATGATAATCTGTTCAGTTAGCATGAGTGAGTTTTAAAAAACAGGTGATCTTGTTTCCTTAAGAGCTAGGTGAAGTTCTGCCAGTACAGAAAAGGCACTTTCCCTGCCAATAAGGGTTGTTAAAAAGGATCTGAGGTTAAGGATAGTGAAATCAAATCCGAAAAAGATCTGTTCATTGTTGACTTAAACCACATCCCAAGTAATTCAGTCCTTTGCAAGATGTTAAAACATCTCAACTGAACCACAATTACAGCTAAAGTCAAATGTTAACACATCAGTTCTCACCTAATATCAGTGTAAGTCTGATATTATAGACAGCAAGTTACAGTTTGTGTCAGTTTGAGGAATGTTTTTCTTAGACCCCTAAGGAAATTCATCACAACTCTTCACACTGAATATCACATTTAGGAAGAAATGAATAGCACACAGGACACGCTAACAGAAGTCTCTCATAGAAGTATCACAACACATGGTTTTGTCTATCAACTGTACTTCCATTATATATATATATATATATATATATATATATATAAATAAAATGGAATATGTGAATATATATATATAATGGAATATATATATATTTTCACACACAGAACACTCTTCCACTTGGTACAGTCAATAGTCAAAACAGACAAATAGTTAGCAAGATGCCAATGGAGAACACTTCCGCTATAATACCAGTTGAGGATTAAGATCCTCTATATGGCTACAAAGTGAACTGTCAAATGGCTATCTCAAAGTTCAGTACTTTTTATGAGATTAGACCAGTCTGTGGTACTAAACATGAAATAACAAAGTACACTCACCATCTGTTTACACAAGATACAAGAAGAAAAGTACATAGCCAGTAACAAATAGTTATTGAAATTAAGTACTAGAAATTACTCATCTAAGAAAAGAAATATAGTAAAAAATACTTGGGGGGGGCTCAGAGCACTACCTAAAGACAAAATAAACACCACGTATGAGGTCTTTCATCTGTAGGTTCTCAAGGTTATCAAACTAAACAAGTCCATGCATTCAGACTTTTATGCTAACTCATATAGTTACTGGCCAGCCATATAACAACTTGTTGGTATCTAGTAAGCACTTACAGCAAAGGTAAGTAGAGAGCAGAGGGCACGAGCGGTTTTAGTCTTCCCCCCACTCATCCCTACAAGTGTCCATTGTTCTCTGAACATTCACTTATACTCAGCGAAAGCAGTAGGCAGTAGTGCCAAGCATCTCTCACCTAGTGGTAGGCAAACCATCCAAAGATTACTGAAATATTCACAACCAAAATATAGCAGGCAAGATATTATTTTACTATACTTTCTTCGTATAAATCTTACACAGCTCTTACGCTTCAGAGCATACATGAGCAGTAATAAAGCTAAATAGTAGGTTTCATATTACAAGAATAAAGGGTTACTCACCTTTTAGTGCAATTACTTTAGAGGCAGGATTCATGATGGCACTTTCAGCAGAAATTGGACGTCTGATAGGTGATGTTGGATCACTCATGTCAATTATTACTACTTGTGCCTGCTCGCCCACTTTCTCCCTGATGCAAATGTACTTGTCAGATTCCATTGTTAGGGTGCTGAATCCAATGTTTGCTGGGTTAATGCCCAAATTTTGGAGCTAGAAAGAGGGAACAGTCCTTTATTATTCTTATCATGAAGATTTCTCTCTCTAACTTAAGTTCCTATACGTAAGATCTCTTCCTGCTATCTCATCTGATCCCTTGTTTCCGTTGCTCGCATCATACATAGAGACAGACTTATTTCCTTCTCCCTCTAGATGGAATCAATATTGCAGAATTCCCATAACATTTAAGGGAGCATCAGTAATTCAATTACAAGTCTAACACAGACTGTTACATTGATCTGAATATACACCAGAACTGGTAAGTACTAAGTTAGTACCACTTATCTTCACAGGTTTTACCTCAGCTTATCTGCTCAAATAGATACTGTAACAAGCATACCAAGGTAAGGTTGTAATGCTAAGTTCCTTCCCAAGGAATGGCCTGAAGACACCAGGAATACCCAACTGCAACATCTACAGCATTTATAGTACTATTAGAGAAGCAGTCTTAATCCTTTAACATCCCTCCCAGCCGTCAACTCCACATCACCTCTTTAGGAAAAGGAACACAGAGAGCAATAGATAGATGAAAAACATACTTCATTCCAGGGCCTGTCCTTCACTGCAAAGACCACACCACGTCCACCTTAGCAAAGCTAGACCACCACGTTCTATCTTCATAGTACTGCCAGGACTAAAAATCTGGACGTAAGCCAACTCTTATTTTCATCTGAAGACAAAGTTCATGATTAGCAATGCCTTCTTTATATCCATCTTTAAAAGCCAGAGCAGTTATCCTCAGGGTACCCTAAGCCCTGACAGGAAAGACTTGAATGGGGAGCAGAATAAAAATGCCCTGACTCAGGTGGAAACTGTTAGAGACCTGCTGCTCCACCTGGGCTGCAACAAGTCCATGAGGCCAGATGGGATCCACCTGAGGGTGCTGAAGGAGATGGCAGAGGTGACAGCAAAGCCACCAACCCTGGAAGTGTTCAAGAAACGTTTAGATGTTGTACTGAGGGGCATGGTTTAGTAGGAAATATTGGCAGTAGGTGGACAGTTGGACAGGATAATCTCAGGGGTCTTTTCCAACATTGGTGATTCTGTGATTAGCAGGTCCAGGCATCCCCAATTCGGATTAGAATATCTCAGACATCTTTCATCCTTTCCTTTGAGACTAGCACCAACTACTTCCCTTGAAGCACACAATAACCTTGAATGCATTGAAATTGCAGTCATAGCTTATGTTTATATAGCATTTATGCTACCTTTTTTTAACCAGCTAACAGCTACCATGGCTTGTTAAAATATACCTTCCATTACATCAACCAAAATGTGAATGCTACCATAGTGATATTTGCTGATTTAGGTTTCAGATAAGCCTCTAGACATAGTCAATATAAAGCTGTCATGAAACAATAAGAACTCCTATGTCACAGTCGCACCAAATTCAACTGTTTTTGTTTGGGTTTTTGTGTGTGTTTTGTTTGCTGTTGGGTGTTTTTTTTTGTTTGTTTGGGGTTTTTTTGTTTGTTTAATTCGCAACTACTTCCTGCTATCCAGCCTCTTCCTTCTTCTCCCATAGCACCAAAGAAACCAGCACTAAAACCTCCAGGTTATTTCACAGCTTTAGTATAAACGCTGTGTGACTGCACAAATACAGTTCAGCACCATTTTCAATGGCCTAATTTTATAAGTGGACTTGTTCATCTCGCTCCTCTGAACTTAACTCTTTCTATTGCAAGCGAAGAAAGATGTGTTAAAATAACCACTTATTCCATCTTTCTTTGCCCAAGAAGTCACCTCACTTAAATTAACAGCACAAGCAGAGATTTCAATGCCGGCTCCTCCTCACCACTTCTGGTCAATTCAAACATCACTTGAGTTCAGGCACATGACAAAGTAGCTATTCTTAAATCAACTTCAAGTCATTCTGTATCACTGAGCAGATGCCTAGATTTCTCACTTTCATCTTTCTTCATTAACTTTGTCTCCCTCCATTTCCAGTGTCTGATTAGCCAGAAGAGGCAACAGTGAAGGTGGATCACTGTTTCAACTGGTCTGTAATATCTCAGATTTAGCGGTGCCTCACGCAGCAACTTGGTATGGTTGTAAGCTACATTTCATGCAACAGTGACAAGCCCAAGGACCTGCTTCATGCCCCAGAGCACAGATTTTTCAAGCAAAGCAACAGCAGCTTCAGTTTTACTGAAGCTTCTTAAGAGATTAACTCCATCCTACAGTCCAAACTCTGCTCTGCACCATCATGGCAGCAGCTATTCCCTGCTGAACAAACAGCCTGGCCCAGCCCCAGGCACACACCCATCACTCAGCAACAGCCAAACACCGGGGTACAATTGGCACTGTCTAGGCCACAGGGAGGATGCAGTGTAGTGCTAACTCAACTTATGGCAAATAACTTTGCATTTTGATAGATTGGCTAAATACAGACCTGGGAAAAGTGAGAAATATGCACAAAAAAAATTATTGCTTTCTGTTTTGATACAGGAATTTGGAAACCGGTTTCAAGAGGACTGCTCCAAAAGTAATGCCTATTTTACTATATTGGCTCACAACATCAGAGGCAGATGTTGATGCCATGGCAGTAGAGTTTGAACCTTCCTGCCAATATTCCATTACACTTCATTGCTGGGTGACAGATGGCAGCAGAAGGGCAATCTCACAAAATGGTGCCTGATGTGGAATTGCATATGAAGCAAAGGTGTGGAATTTAAGTCCTCTATGGAGGAAAAAAAAAACACCTACTGAAGCATTAATCAATGCTTCCTGAACATTTATCGAGACCAAACAGTTTACGTGAGTGCAGTGTGGGAGTGGGTGGCGCATTTCAGCAGTGACAACAGCAACAGTGGTTCAAACCTACAGGTGCAGACTTTTACAAGCATAGCATGCAGGCTCTTCATCACTGGCAAAGATGCATTATGCTGTGATTTTGTTAAAAACAGATGTTCTGTAGTTCCAAATTTGCTCTCCCAAACACTGTTACTATGCTCACTGTATCTCTGGTAGTTTTCATGGACTTCAGGAGCAACCTAGTGTCACAAGCTGTTCAGTATGTTCTGATCTGGCTGATTGTTTCAGGGTACATTTGAATCTGAGATAGGATGTCTCAGGAGCAGAGGCAAGCAAACTATGCTCTCAGAGCAGCACAGAGGGTTTTAGTCAACATATACACGCAGGCATTCATTTTTAGATAATCCCCGCAAGCAGGAAACAGAACCTCCCTAAGCAAGTGTACTATTACTTTCTGACCCTTGAGAGACTGCAAACCACCAAAAGGAGACAGAAGGACCATGCTGGCAGTGGATGCTATAGGCAGCGCCAGCAGGGCATCCCCTGCTCCAAAGGGCACTTTGTCTTTCATCCCCACTGCAGCCACTCTCCTGCTTTGATTCTCTCCAGGGTCTGCAAGGTTTGTTCCATTGCATGCTGTACCCATGCAGCCAATGCATAATAAGGAGCTCAAGTGGAACACCTGTTTGCAAAACAAGACTTTGCAAAAACAAGATAAACTACCAAGGTCGGCTCTCTCTACAAAACAAGACACTTGCAGCTACAGCCACAAACATCAGTTCCCTTAAAACAGTCAGAATACTTCGTTCCATCCCAGGATCATTCTTCAGTCAGGGGCCTTGAGGTCCCCAACACACTAACCATGGCTTGTTGCAGCGTATGTAAAGCTGCTCACTAACCCATAAATTGGGTATGTAACTGAGATGCTTAGAAATGCAGCACTGCATTGGAGCCACACCCAAGAAAAACCTCAGGAATAGTTTTCAACTTACTAAAGAAAAGCTACTCAGCTTAGTAGTTGCTAATTTTGACATACATAAGTTTCAGTAATGCAATACAAGCTAAATGTATGCATATGTAAGATATTTGGAGGAGGAACAAACACGTCAGCACAGTAATCAAGACCCATTCAGCTGTCTCCTCAGCTTATAGGTACATACTTCTATAGAAGCTAGTAAACAGAAGTAGGTGCCATTCATGCCAAAAGGTTATCAAATTTTAGACACTGAAGTATCAGAAGCAACTTGTAACTAGAGCTTCAAGAACTGTACAGAGAGCATGTAGCTATTACAGGCTTCTGTATCAGAAAGGTAAAATGTCTCCATATTAAGAAGATTCATGTAATACAAAAGTTTATTACCCAATATACAAGTTGTAGCCAAGTCATCTATGACCCTGAACAAGGAGGATAAGCGATAGTCCCTTAGATTCAGTGTTCCCGATTATATGCTCTAGACTTGAAAACATACACTCACTGAAAATTACACATTCACACCTCAGTGTTGGGCATGAAATCAGTTCACTTACCAAAATATAACCTGTTATGAAAGACTGATAAAGCAAAGCATCACAAGTGACTTAATCACAGGATAGCCAAGCTTGTCTTGATTTAATTAGCCCTAACTCAGTGCAATGGCATAGAAGCACAGCTCTCCAATGCCTCTTCTCAGACACCGTGCTCCAGCTTGACACCCTCTTCATGACAGCCACTTGACACTCACTCTGTACAATGAGAATCTTGAGGTGTTAGTCTAGTTCAAGTTCAGCTTTAAGCCCAAGCTTATCCCCTGCAAAATCTGGTCTCTACTGAAGAGCCATAATACTTAAGGTATCTTCACTAAGAAATAAGTTTTTGCCTCAAATTCTGGCGTAACTTCCAGTTCTAACTGCCATAACATCTACAGAAAGTTTCAGAAATTAACTATACATGGTGCGTGACTATTGCCGCCATCCTCTTATTAGGCTAGTCAGTAAACTTCTTAAGCCAAAAATATTACCACTTCCTAAAGGATGGTCATGTAATTACTGCCTCAGTTAATAATAAAAAAAAAAGCTTCCTATTTTAGCAATTTGAAAGCACTGAAGATTTACTTCCACCAGTGCAACAGTAAGCATCCATATCAGAGGGCATGTGCTCCATGGAAGCAGTTCAACAAGCATGTTCCTTATGACCACACATAAGAACAGGAGCAGATACTCTTTACAACCATAAGAAAGGAATATTTAGCCAGCATTCTTCTTCACTATCAGGCGGAATTACCCAGATAACACATCTAATATTACTAGAGACTAGATTAGATCATTGCCTATCAAACATAATTTTAAGGACGTTCATATACTGATAACCCCTGTAATGATTTAAAAAATTAGCCAGAGATATATTATTTAAATGCCACAGGTAGGATGAAATGTGACTATTCATCTGAAATTTAATAATCTCCCATTCCAGTTTACTGATGCTTGTATACAAGAATTTTAATAAGCATTGGGCTTTTGAGTGCAACTCTTTCTGCAGAAAAACAGTGATCAAGACCGAGCCGGCAAAGACCAACTCAGACATTGGCACAAAGTCTTCAAGCTAAACCCCTTTCTCTAGTGGTAAGTTCTTAAGACTAATCTACTGTCTGCTCAGTACTACCTCCAAATACTTGGGACAAATCATCAGTTAAATGCTGGAGCTCACATAACTTGATGGGGTTCAGAAAATATCCCATTTCAGTTTAGTGCCACTCAGCTCTAATGGAAATACTTTTCAGAGGTTTCAATTAACAGTTGCTTCAATCCCACTACAAAAGAGTAAGGCTTGGACAGGGGCTATGGGTATCTAAATATTAAGCACTACCTCCTAGCAGCTCTGTAAGAACATATCATTTAAAGCATAATACAAACTAAGAACACAGTAGTAGTTTCTCAGAGCATTTATGTAGCTCACGTAGCAATATAATGTTAAACCAACATGCTCAATTAGGAACTGTATATAGCCATTGGACATCCTGTCCCCACTGCCAGCCCTCCTGTTGTTACTCCTCATCTTGGCAGGCAAGGGACATAGAGGAAGTACACATCAGCTGAAACATGCAAGACCACAGGATCACAGTGTTTAGTTATAGCTACAATTACATTTTTGTCTTAAAAAAAAAAAAAGAGCCACTCCCTGTACAAATCCATTCCTGCATGTCAATGATGGCGATTAGACCATCTGTTCAAAGAGTCTACCACACACAGGGTAATCCCAATCCATTAAGCAAATACGGTCTCCTCAACACTAAATAGCTGAGTCACCATGATATTTAGCTCCACCTTCTGAATACAAGTCCAAGAAGTTATTTACAGCTGGAAACATCCTGAATGCTTTACATTCACATATGTCTAGCCAAAACAAACTTTGGAAATCCATTACAGCTCAGCTCAATCATGTCTATCGGACAATAGACAGTAATCCTTAAGAGGACATCTCAGACTAATCAAAAGAAGAAAGTGGTTTTGTCCATGAAGTGACAGAAGTAAATCTACATCACTTTAAGACCAGACTTAAGCTTCTCAGTACCAAACTAGAATGTATAGAATTCACACATAAAGGACAAATAAGCACAAACAACTAAAAAAAAAGTGTGTGTGTGTGTTAAGAGTTTGTATTACTCACTCCAGAGAAAGCAGAAACCTGCCTACTGATCATTGTGCCTGTCCATCTACAGGACAAAGAGCCAAGAAATCCAAGACTTTGCATAACTGTTGTTTTCCCTACAGAGCTAGCTGAGATTTTTACCAGTGAGAGCTGAAAAAAAACCCACAACAAAACGTGATGAAATTAAGTTTTTAAGAACAAGCCTATGACTAAGTAAAGTTAATTTCAGATCAAGAACATTTTGTTCACTGAATTCCAGTAATGTAGTCCCAGTCTGTTTGCCAACATGTTTAGTCTTTTATGGCATTCCCATTCATAGAATCATAGAATTGCTCAGGTTGGAAAAGACCTTAAAGATCATCAAGCCCAATGGCAAACCAAACACATGGTAAACTGCAATCCAGTAAATTTATAATTCACTGCTCCAACGGAAGCACTGGAATTAGAGATCCAGTTATACCCTAATAGTACATCCCGGCAGTTCATCATTACAGTAGGGCTGCAGTAATCTATACTTCTGCTACAGATGATCAGCTATTAGCTTATTGCCAACCCTTGTTGTAGGACTTTAACTATGATAGTCTCTGAGGGAAGTAAAATGCAAGTTCTTTGGGGAACTACGAACAGTTCACAGCTAAAAACAGTATCTTAAATGTGTTATGTGGACCTAAACAGTAAGACTTGAGGCAGTATTAAGCTGATCAATATCTGTATCTCTTACAGTAGCTACTGTTTGCTCATAAGTTCATACCAGGGTTGAAGGTACAAGCTGTAACAACTTGTAATTTCACATGCACTGTGACTAGCAGTCATTCCTCCTGCACAGCCTTGGAGGTACAGTTCAGTTAGAAAAATGATCAATATAAAACAAAACAAGCTGCACAAGGAATGTAAGCAGTCTACCTAATACTCCTTCAATTTTATGTGAACCAAGATCACAGGGTTTTTTTTCCCCCCCCACACTTGTTTATCCAGATAGAGACTGGGAGAGTTCAGTACTTAGCACCACAACTTGTTTAGCTTCCCCAAAGACCACTTTCTGCATACTTCATTCCACCTTTTAGCCTAGTATAGAGTAGACTTAGTATAAGTGAAATAAGGTTCCATCAGCACCAGGCCGAATTTGAAATTGAGTAGAGTTAACAGCTACTCTAGCTACTTACAGACATACTAATTAAAATATCTACAGATAAGCAGTACAGTTTGAATTAAGATGCAGAACAAATCAATATAGAATCACTGATACACAGCAGTTATAAGAAACTGTTTCTGATTTAACATCATAAAGCAGCGTAGTAGATCCGTCATACTACTCATTTCAAATATGACAATTTAACTGTAGCCAAACCTATTCCTTGGAAGAAATCCGAGAAGAAAAAAAAGGATTAAGCTGGATGATAATGAAGCATTATGAACAGGAGTGAAGGCCTGTTCTTACCACAAGAAAGCTCTCTAGTGGCCAACAACAAGGAGCAAGGAGTTAACACACCTAGAGCAGAGACATACAATGTAAGTTAGAGTTGATAAAACCATACTTCAGATATCCAGCCAGAACAAACACTACCAGCTCCCACACTTCTTCTGATCTTCCTCCCCATTTCACCTGTCATGTAAAGACAGATGCTGAAGTAACACTGAGGAGGCTAATGAATTCCTGTCCCAGTCACTAATCTCAGTTTCCTAGTGTGGAACACTGCTTTGGAGCCACTGCTCTCAGACTGAGGGAGTGGAAGGGGAGCAGGAAGGAGTGAATCCCACAGAACAATCCAGTTCCACACACTAGTGGCATGGTCCTAAGGTTTCCCACGATCCCCTGTTCAGTCTCCTCCAGCACAGGCTCAGTCCTACCAGTAATATCATCACATTTAGGAGCAAAAGCAGGTGGTGGCAAAAAATAGCATGTGACTTCAGTGGGACTCCCTGGGGAAGTTACTAGCCCCTGACTCAAACCAGAAGTACTCTAATGCTCATACGGACAGTTTTGCAAGACAGAACTAGCCCTCAGAAACAGTCATGTAACATGCAAAGGAGGACACTGCACCTATAACATCAAGCATAACATCCACTTATCATCACTGCACAGCCAAAGACAACCAGCAAGATCAGTGACACCTGCTAGCTTTAAGTTGTGAGAACCAAACGCTTCTCCCTAAGGTGAGTCTGACATGAAAAATGCCCTGATCCTTCACTTTCTTACTCAGACAGCTGCCCTGTAGCTACCACGAATTAACTGTATTACAGCAATTGCTGCTATCCTGTAGGGGGGAGGAGGAGTAATTCTTCACTATATTAAACTCTCAGCTTCAGCGAGTAGGCAGGTGTGTGCTCCCACTGGGGCGGAGCAGATATTTCTGGAACTCACTGCCCAATCATTTTTTCCAGCCTTGGTCTCCTCCCAGAATGACCAAGGCAGTTCTCACAGTCACCCGAAACCCCTCCCCAAAAAGGAGCTGCAAGGCCTGCAGCAGTACCAAGTCTCCCAGAGGATGGGTCTGCAGTTCATATTTTGAGATGGAAGACTGATTTGACAGAAGGAGGCCGTGCAGAGACAGCAGGATGACTTGCCAACTCCACTTCCTGTTCCCTCATTCATTTAGCAAATTCCTTTAATTCCTGCCTTACACTGCATGCTCGCTGGCTGCTGTTCTCCCACCCCGTTTCCAACCTTTCCTTAGCACCGGGTTATGAAGGAACAGAGAAACCGCCTTGGCTGCACGGCATCCATTAGCGATGGACCTCTTCCAGCACCGATGCTACTCACAGGCCATCAGGACAGAACCGTGTCATTTTGAAGAAGGGCTTTCTTTCTTCTCCACATCGTCGTGTTCGGAAGGCAGGCAGAGGCCCCCAGGCCCTCGACCCCCAGCCCGCAGCCACACGGCTCCCCGAAACCCGGAGGCTGACGGTCGCTGCGGTGACGAGCGAAGCCCCGCACACCCCGAGAGCCGACGGCCCCCCAGAAGCATGGGGAGCCACCCTCCCTTCCCGGAGCGGCCCCGAGTGACGGTGCACAAATCGCGCCGGCGGTGGATGGGGGCGCTGCGCCCCGCGGTCCCGCACCGCGCGCTCCCCCACCCGGACCAGGCCGCGGCCGCCCCTCCCCGAGGCCCTCGGGGAGACAGAAGGGAACTGCCCGCGCCCCGCGTTCCCTCTCCCCTTGAGCTCACCTGAAAGTGCTCCTGGAAGCGGATAGGCAGGATCTGGGCCATGGCTAGGGGAGAACTCTTCAGGGACGGGCGCGAGGAACGAGAGATGGAGATAAGGCGGGTGAGAGGGCACCGCCGCACCCCGCGCACGGCGAAGAGAAGCGCGGGGGGAGAGCAGGGGAAGGGGAGGGGGGAGAGCTGGAAACGCAGAGCGACGCAGGCGCGCTATCCTCGCAGAGAACGCGCCCCCCCGCCCTCTTCTGCCTCGCGGGGCCGCTCACTCCGGTGGCGGGATCACTCCGCTCACCACGAGCTCCGCCAGGGTCTTCTCAAATAGTCCCGTTCCGCCGTGCCTCCTCTCACCCCTCGCCTCCCGCCCGCCCCGCAGCCCATCACCGCCGTTCCGTCCCACGTGGCTCCCGCTGAGCAGCGGGGAAACGACTGCGATGACGGGGGGGTTCCTCCGTTTTGGACTGTCAAAGTGCGATATTCTTCCGCAGCGCCCCGTGACTCGGCCCCCTCCCCGGCTCCATACGGCGGAAGCGGGCGGGGGTCTGTCCCGTTGCCTCCTCACCCCGCCGGTGGCGTGGAGGTTCCTCTGCAAGGCCGGGCCGATAATGGTGTTTCTCTGCTCTCCGCGCTATCCGCCGCCGCTGACCAGAAGGGCGAGGGGCTGACGGGAGCTGAAGGACGGCCGCCGGGTGTGTTGTGGAGCCCCCGCCGCTGAGCTTTGAAGTGGAAACACGGATCTTTCCACGAGATGACGTCGTGAATTGGAAAGCTGTTGAGGAACTGAGGAGTGAGGGGTCCGACGCAAGCCGTAAATCAGAGCTTTCTGGTATTTAAAACCTTGATCCCCATCGGCGACCCATCAAATGGGGGATGCCCCACGCAGCCTAAAGGGGAACCCGGAGGGCTGCAGGCGCTGGGGAAGCCCCGAGCAGACGGCACAGGGACAGAGGTGCCGCTGAAGGAAGAATTAGGAAATACTTCTCAGAAGGAGTGGCGATGTGTCGGAACTGGCTGCCCAGGGAGGAGTTAGGGTCACCATCCCTGGAAGGTGCTCGAGAAGCATGGAGGTGTAGCACTTGTTAGATGCAGTTCAGTGTGCGTGGTGTGACAGTTGGACTTGATGACCTTAGAGGTCTTTTCCAACCTCAGTAATTCTGTGGTTCTGTACAGCCAAATCCCTCAGGAAGTCCACTTTTTATGTCCCTTGCTGGTGGTAGGCACCGAGGAAAAATCGAGCCAAGGTGGGGACAAAATGTTTTTTTTTTCTTTATAAGGTCACACAACTGAATTGCCTTCACCTGTGCTCCCAGGGCTGAGCGGGTCCTTTCCCCAGGTGCTCAATCAGTGGTTCAGGCCAGGACTCAACAGTTCCCACACATGCCCACTGGCCAAATCCTGCTAATTACAGCGTCCCATCCTTTCCATGATTAAAAAAAAAAAAAAAAAAAAAGGCATCTTACTTTATATATACATTTTTTGCACTCTATTGTCCACTCATATTTTCCTCCTCATTTTTGTCTTCTCCATCCAGTTCTGCATTTAAAGATCTGTTCTTTTAACATCTTGCCAACCTTTGCGATCAGCAAATCTTGTTTGAAGCCTGATCAGCTCTGAAACGTTTGTTGATAGTGTTTGAAATTTTGACACAAATCAAAAATATTTTGCTATATTTTTCTCCGCTTTGCAAATGGCTGGTCTCCCACAGCTAATTAAGTTGACCTCTTTACAGCTAGCTGAGCGTATGAGTGTTTTAGCTGAGTCTTCCAACCTTGTTTACTCCATTTAGTTTGGAATGATTCAACTGAAAAGCACTGCTGGCCTTACGTAAGGCATTTCTCCAACAGTTTGAAGTCTATAAAAAGAAAATATAAAGGGTCTCAGGTCTCTATGTGTATGTTGTGCTAGTGATTAAATAACCCTGATTAAATAACACCTTTCTTGCTTCTTTATAAAAGGCAGAGCCACAGCACTAAGCAGCCAAGAACAGCATAATCTCTAGTTATCCTTTCACAACAAAATGGAAAAGGTCCTAGAAAACATTTGTCTTTTTCTTTCTTTTTTTTTTTTTTTTTTCCAGAGGTTTGGTTTTCTAGCTCCTCCTATGAATAGCAGCCGATGTTTCTTTTCAGTCTTTGAGAACAGCCCTGAGAAATGCTGCATTACTTGCTCTTACTTAAGTGGAAATACATTATGTGTGTTGTGCATATTCCTAGTCTTCTTTCTACAGAATCAGCCATAGTAGTCTCATGGAAAAGCAAAATGTGTTTCTCTTAAAACATTCTTCTTGAAGTCTTGCTCCACAACATTGGTTGAATTCACAGTTTAACTACAGAAGAGTTCAATTTGCAATTGTTTAGCTACTTTAATTTTTGTAAGTAAACAAACAAACAATTCCCAGCACTAACATGTATCTTAGCCTACAGGAGAGACCGCCCGCTCATTGACAGCAGAGCTTGTGATTGGGGAACAAAGCCTCAAGCAGTAAGGAATCTGCAGGTTGGACCTGCATGTTCTTGTTGCTGATCAAACCGTGCAGCATGACAGCAAAAGCAGGATTTGATGCACATCTGTTTCCAGCCATATGCTGACTGGAGCAGTCTGAGTGACAATACTTTGCCTAACAGGTGAAAGCAAATCTTAGGAATGCTGTGTCAGCAGTCATAGCATGAAGATGTGGCAGAGCAGCAAAGACAGCAGAGCACCTTCAGAAGACCTGATTTAATCTCACTAAGAAAAAATGACATTTCATGCATCTCAAGGTCCTCACTGACTGCTCTGTTTGCTGTAGGACCTGGTTTGGAATTGTACTCTTTGATTTTCAAACGACACTCTCACTCCTCAGACATTTTCCTGCTTGTCTCCTGGAGCCTATCCTCTCTCCTTCCAACAAGCTCCTTGCTACTGGGTCAATAATCATCTCCTCTCATTTTCTCTTATCCAGAATTGACTCCTTGTATGCGTCCTGTAGTCATTCTCCATTGTAGCGTAAAATTCCAGTCCAGCACTGTCCCTTTTCCATTGGAAATCCACTCCTCTTTCCACATCTGTTGTTGTTATAATTGAATGCATAACTCCAGATTGTACCATGCAGTTTGAGGCTCTGGATGCATTCTGTGTTTTTCACCTGTCATTGTGCACATTCCTGGCAGCAGGTTGGTGAAAACAGTAAATACATCATTTTTCAAAAAGTAATCTGAAATATAAAGATTTTGCTGCAGTGCTGTTTAATAGGTGAATATTTCATGCTTAAATTCCTTCTAGTTTATTCTCTGGCAGAAATATGAGTTTTTACACACAGCATTGAAAGGAAATCTTTTATGGTGGATTTACCACTGATATTTTCTTCATAGAGGTCACTTCATGAATTTATAGGTTGGTATGTGAAGTCCCATTTTGTATTCCCTATGCATAGGAAGCTAAGCTGGAGATGATAAATTCTGATGGTATTTTATGTAAAAATGAATAGAAGTGTTGAGGGCTAATAGCAATGAGGCTGGGGGTCTTCAGATTCCCCACTATGAGCTCATGCCACAATGATAATTCACTTGTGACTTGCAAGCAGTGTGTCTGTCTTTCCTCCAGAAAACATTTTCATTTAAAGAAGCCATTTCTGTCTCTCTCTGCATAGAACACTGACATTTATGCTCCTTGTGTCTTAACATCATCACTTGGTTCTTCTCTGTACATTTGCACTCTCCAGGACTTGCAATGCAGGTGCTGAATCACTTGCATGGTAATGTATTGGGCATCTGAAATTGCAGCTTCTTCATCTTAGCCTTGTAAAAACAGAGGTCTACTGGTCAGTGATGCAAAGCAGAAGAAAGGGTGTGAGAATCAACATGTCTTCAAAATCAAGACAGAGGGGTCAGGGCTGCTTGCTATGCAAAACTTTTTTGAAGCTGAATTCCTTTAGAGAATTTTCTCGGGCAATATATCCATGACATGGATAGAGATTATATGTTCTTAGAAAATACAACCGGTGAAAAGAAAGGTGGTAACTAATACAAATCAAATGTGCTTCTATCACTAATTTCACTAGTTCTGGAATGACAGAAACCTAACTGTACTTACAAGTAGACAAAATAGAATCTTAGCCTAAATGGGCTTAGTGGTTGAATGCCATTCGGCAGAATAACTAGTAAGCATGCATAAATAGACTGTTGGAATAAAAGGCTGGAAACGGTCTAAAGAGGTCTTTGGTTATTACCTCTGCCCTACAGCAAGAATTAGCGAGCCAATGTTTTCCAATCACAGATTAATAAAGTGAATTAGGAAATACTGATTATATTGATTGTTAGGGCCTTTTAGCAATTTACTTCAAAATAGATCCTTGACAAGTAAACTTCAGAGTTCATTTTCTTAACATAATTCTATTTTCCAGGAAACAGAATAAAGCCAAGAAAAGCAAAAACCTAATTATATTTTATAGTGGTAAAACATGCAGATGGTAAACAGACTTTTCATTCTCTGTAGGGCCATTACAATATTCTTCCTCTTCAATTAATCCGGGAAAGAAACATTTGCTAAAAACATGAGCTATGAATTCCCCCTCATCCCAAGAAGCAGACAAGTTGTTTATGGCTACGCTTTCACTATGTTTTCCTGTTTCCTCTTCTTCATCATAGCAAGTTTTCAGACCAGTGGCCAAATTCAGCCATGTGATGGAGAGGAATAGACTCAAAGTTAGAAGATTTCTGCAAGTTTCATGAGAATAGGCAGCCAAAGAATGGAGACTTCTAATTAGACAGACTAGCTGGTAAATCTGTGAAAAAAATGAACCCAAATCATGGAAAAATAAAATCTTTGATCAACGCTTGCACCCTTTTGCATTAATTTTATTATTAAGGAAATGCTTTGTTCACTTTATGCCCGAATTCCTGCTTTTGTAGAAACCTGTACGTTTTTCTGCATTAACTTGAGAGACAAATAGGTTCAGAAATCCCCAACCTCTTCCTGAAAACAGCATTATTTTCTCAAGTTCACCCTCTTCAAAAACAGGTTCTTAGTAGACCGTGTAGTGCTATCTCAGGTAACAGAGCACCCATCCACCTTCCTTTTTACTTCTCCTGTTACCTTGTAGGATTACAGAAAGCTGAAGATGAAATCACGAGTTTTCTTACTCTCATCTTTCTCAGTTGAGAACTGTTAGTGGAACAGGTTTCAATAGGAGTTCTCTGCACCTCATAGTTCTTCATGATATATACAACCTAAAAGTAATAGACTGGCTTCTCTGGAACTTTAGTCTTAAGTAACATTTTCAAGACACAAACACAGATGTTTCCCAGAGAGGTTCAGTAGCCATACACATTTGCTATCTTCCAGATTTCTGAGAGAAATAACTGGCAAGACTACCAACATAGAATAGAGTGTAGGATTTACACAGATTTACACAAAGTCATCAGAACAGAATGTCTAAACCACCTTTAAAAATATTCCTACCAGTGCTAACAGAAGCAATATGTAAGCATTTTTTGTCAACTGCCACTAGAATAAATTTAGATGACACAGTGATTAAGACAGTTGTGCCCCTTTATGCCAGTGCTTTCAGTGTAACTGATACTTCTTGTATCGGGCATATTAAGCAAAGGGAAAAAAACTCTTACGCAGAGGCAGCCTTAACAAATAAGAAAGGGAATTTGTAATCCTGTCTTTTTAGCATATAGTTAATCTTCTTAGAGATGCGTATCTTTTAGGAAGATCTGCCCAGATTAAAAAAAAAAAAAAAAGTGTTTGGTACTTCCTGCTATTTCTATACGCCTACAAGATGTCTACAACATATAAAAGCAATATAAATTTCAGCAAAATATACTATGCCATATAGGTATCTTTAGAAAATGAAAAGAGAAAAAAGGAAAGGTGAAAACATACAAAGTACTAGTTGAAACATATATTTAGCATTTTGTTGCCATAATTTGCAGATGTTTGGTGTTCATCATAGAGTAATATGACTGGATAAAGCATTAATTGCAAAAGAATGTGTGCAGGTCCAGATATGCAGTGGCTTTTATTTGTCACCCTCTTTCTGCACAAGAAATACTGCATTCAGGAAGTAAATAAGGGTCAGAGTTCTCCCCCTTCTGTATTGGCTATCTGCAAATCATTTGCTGAAATTCAACGAGAGCTTGGTGTGGACACTGGATCAAGTAAGGTTGCATTATCAGAGCAAATACAAAGCCTTTGTGCATTTCTTTCTATTGTCATTTTATGAAACATAGATGCTAATAATAAGAAGAAACTCTTCTTTTGTTTCTTTGGTTATGCTGGAATGTGAGAGCTAAATA